GCTTACTCATCTCCTTTATGTGGATGACATTGAGATTCTTGTCAAAGGAGATACCAATTTGAAAGAACAGTTCTCCTTGTCGAGTCCTTTTCTTATGATATAAGCATGACATTTGGACTCGACAAATGTAATACGCTTTATTTGAAACGTGGCAAGGTAATAAATCATTGATCGGTCAAGTTACAAGGGGGAGGAGTTATTGAGCATCTTGTTGAAGATCGGGCCTCTTGGAATGCAAGTTCGAGACTAGCTCCAGAATGCCCAGATCCAAGACAAACTTCTTGCCGAGTATAAAACTCGCTTAAAGAAACTCTGGAGCTCAGAGCTAAATGCTCGAAAAAATGTCAAGGCCACCAATACTTTTGCTGTGCCAGTCCTATTCCTTTGGAGCAGTTGATTGCACAAAACAAGATATCCAGAGTTTTGACCGCCTGACCAGAAGGGTCATGTCTGATAACAGAGCTCACCACCCTCGTTCCTCTCCTAATCGTTTATATACGCCAGTCAATTCTGGGTTTGATTAATGTAGAGGGTCTTCATGATATAATTTGATGGTGTCCTTTTGCACATATTTATTTATCGGATGATCCTCTCATGATCAAAACAAGGAATTCCATAGCTATTTCAAGCGTGCCAAGCTTGTTTGACAGAATCTGAAATTTGAGATTGATTTTGTTGATAACAATGTACTGCTGGACGGTACAGCGATGGGAGTAAACCAGGTACACCAGGTGAAGATCTGGAGATCTGCCCATTGTTCTCGATGCCCTTGGTTTGGTACCTCCTGATCTCTTGGCGCAGATCAGGAGTGCCCGGGTTCTCCACACAGCCCTTCTGACACTCTGGGTAATGCAGAAGGCTGCAGTGTTGGGGAGTCTACATATTCTCCGGAAAGTTCTTGGTGGGTTCGACTAGGCAGCGTTTCCTGGTAGAAGTCACATTCGCTGTCTGGGCTGCGTGTAGAGGGGACAAGGGCCCAGAGCTGTTGACTGACTGACTGACTGAGTTGGGTTTTACGCCGCTTTTAGCAATATTCCAGCAACATCACGTCGGGGACACCAGAAATGGGCTTCACACATTGTGCCCATGTGTGATTCGAACCCGGGTCTTCGGTGTGACGAGCCAACGCTTTAACCATCAGGCTACCCTACCCTTACCAGCCCGACTGTGCCAGGATCACTCGAACCCTCTCTGCTGCATTTTCATGTTAATCTGTAAAACATACTAATATGGATACTTATATTGCGGTAACCTCCGCACCAAAGCGTGTTTAAAGCGCTAACAGAGTTCCACAGTTCATTATTACCCCGGAAAACCCAAGCTGCCTGTTAGGCCCTAGAAGGTTATAGTCACTAGTTGGGTGAACAAACTCACTTGCACAAGGTGAGACCACGTGTATCACATGTGCTTCGTTGTGGGGCGAAGACTGAAGTCCTAGAAACTCGCTTAACTTCAACTTCACACACACGCACGCACGCACGCACGCACGCACGCACGCACGCGCACGCACACGCACACACACACACACTAAGAAGGTGTGATCTAAAAATAGAATACTTGTTTTGTCCTACGGGAAACCGTTTGTATGGCTACGGTCATGGATTAGGGAGAGTGTTTTTGTTGGTGATCTGTGATGGCTGATTTACTGTCTGCCATGACTGTTGAGGTTTTATGTTCTTTCATGCCTGCATCACCGGGACGGGGGGTTTCACCTATAAAAATATCACAGTTACTCTTGTAGATCGACCCGTGAAGGTCCGTGTTACAATATTGATTTCCAGTAACCCATGCTTGTCGTAAGAGGCAACTAACGGGATCGGGTGGTCAGGCTCGCTGACTTGGTTGACACATGTCATCGGTTCCCAGTTGCGCCGATCGATGCTCATGCTGTTGATCACTGGATTGTGTGGTCCAGACTCGGTTAATTACAGTCCGCCGCTATATAGCTGGAATATTGCTGAGTGCGGCGTAAAACTAAACTCACTCACTCACTCTTGTAGATCACTCCGGTGGGCTGTTTGATTTTTTTACACCGAAACGTCGCTCTATAGCTTGATAACGTTGTAAGAATTTACACCGAAACGTCGCTCTATGTAATACACGAAAGTTGTGATAAATAAAGTTGTATGCTTCATTCAGCTGATGGAGTAACTTAAAGATTACCATGGACAAAATATTTACTCGCAAAAATGTGCGAAACTCGAAAAATGCAAAAAAGGAAACGCATCAATGAAAATAGCAATTTCATGTAGCAATGAATTAAAACGTGATTCATTTTACAAAAGGTTTTGCTTTGTTTATGAGTCCTGTGGTATTTATGTTTTGAAACATCACAACAAAACGCACCATCCGTAGAATACCCGTATTTAACAGCATGATTTTCAATTTCGGTGTGTAGTGTCACAGAATACACAATTCACATGCAATGCACGTGAAAGTTTGGGATCAGATAGTCTCAATGATGGGTATAAAAGGTTGATCGCTGTCTGTCGATTATTCACTGTATTTGGAATATTGTTGACGAACGCAAAATGCCACGTCTAAGTGAAGCCAACCGTCATATCGCCATTGGTTTGCTTGAAGCTGGCCAGTCTCAACGTGCAGTTGCCCGACGAGTGAATGTTCACCAAAGCACCATTTCACGGCTCTGGGAGAGATATCGCCGGCAGAATGCGGTAGCAGATGCCTCTCGTAGTGGGCGACCTCGAGCGACCACTGCGGCGCAGGATCGCTACATCCGGGTACATCACCTGAGTCATCGAACAGCTACGGCGACCACTACCGCTCGACAAATACCCGGATTGAGGAGGCTTTCTGCACAGACCGTCAGGAACAGGTTGAGAGAGGCTGGTTTACGTGCCAGAAGACCTTAGTTTGGCCCTGTGCTTCGACAACAACATCGTCGACATCGAGTTCAATGGTGCACCAACGTTCAGGCCTGGGACCTACCGAATTGGCGTAGAATCCGGTTCAGTGATGAATCACGATTTCTATTGGTACGACGCGATTGAAGAATGCGGGTGTACAGACGTCGACGTGAACGTTTCGCCGACGTTTGCATTTCCCAGGTGGACAGATTCGGCCGGGGCAGTGTTATGATGTGGGGAACGATCACCTGCCGTAGGAGAAGGGATTTGGTGATGATCCAGGGCAACCTGAAAGCTCAACGGTACTGTGACGAAATCCTACGGCCACACCTCCTTCCAATCATTGATCGCCAGAGGGAGTCGTTTCAAGGCCCCACACAGCACGTCACACTAGAGACTTCCTCCAGAACCAAAACATCAATGTGCTCCCCTGGCCCTCAAGATCACCAGACTTAAACCCGATCGAACATCTGTGGAATGCCCTGGAAGCTCAAACTGACTTTCATCGAGTTGGTGCCAAAGACGGATAGGTCTGCATTCCCAGTGTGCAATTTCGCTATATTTCATTGACTCATAAAGCCTACAAGATGTTTCAAAATAAACATAAAAATACAGTTGAAATTCCTTTATTTTTTTTTTATTTTTTGGGAGAGTATACATGTGATATCAGAATTGAACATGGTTCTTTTTTGAGATTGACAAAGTTTAAGTAAATCCTTTGAGCTTGTGCGAATCCATATGATATTGTTTCCAATAGTCTCAAAACATTCCTGAAAACCTCTTGATGGTAACTTATTGGGAAAGACTACAGAAGACCAAAAACCTTCCTCCATCCTTGAAAACTTTAGAACTGCGCAAAAAATGTGCGCAACTCGACTCGAGTTTTAATACTTCGCTATCTTAGTGTACCAACTGTTTTAGCGTTACTATCTTTCTTAGGGTCAGTTTAACGAATACGATTAGGGGTAGAGTTAGGGTTAGAGTTAGGGTTAGAGTTAGGGTTAGAGTTAGGGTTAGAGTTAGGGTCAGAATTAGGGTCAGAGTTAGGGTTAGAGTTAGGGTTAGAGTTAGGGTCAGAGTTAGGGTCAGAGTTAGGGTTAGAGTTAGGGTTAGAGTTAGGGGTAGAATTAGGGGTAGAGTTAGGGGTTAGACTTAGGGGTTAGAGTTAGGGTTAGAGTTAGAGTTAGGGGTTAGAGTTAGGGGTTAGACTTAGGGTTAGAGTTAGGGTTAGAGTTAGGGGTAGAGTTAGGGGTAGAGTTAGGGTTAGAGTTAGCGGCAGAGTTAGGGTTAGAGTTAGGGTTAGGGTTAGGAGTTAGGGTTAGAGTTAGGGGTAGGGAGTTAGGAGTAGAGTTAGGGTTAGGAGTTAGGGGTAGAGTTAGGGTTAGAGTTAGCGGTAGAGTTAGGGGTAGAGTTAGGGGGTAGATATAGGTGTATAGGGTTAGGGTTAGGGGTTTAGAGCTAGGGGTAGAGTTAGGTGTAGGCTAAGGCTTAGGTTAGGGTTAGGCAACTTTCCCAAGCTCATTCGCTCCAACTCCCAGAATTCCGTAGGTCCGATTTTTCAAACCCGCATACATTTTTAAGTTGTGATAACTAATCTTTCATGTTCAAAATCATTGGTTAGTTTCACTAACCGGAATTCTTCCCAAATAATCCGATTTTTATGGGTTTTTTCTTATTTTGATGCTCCCTTAATTTTTCGATTTTTAGAGCTCATGCTTTCCTATAATAGGGACCGCCTCCGTGGTGTAGTGGTTAGAGCGTCCGCCCAGAGAGCGGAAGGTCGCGGGTTCGATCCCCGACCGCGTCATACCAAAAGACGTTAAAATATGGCACTTGTTGGTCCCTGCCTGGGTCTCGGCATTAATGGGTACAACAAGGACTGGTCGGCTCGGAGTCAGTATAATGTGTCTGAGTGGGGTATTCATGCTACACTGCGGCATGGTATCTCAGTAGGCTAGCACTATGAAAACCAGCTTCAGTCTGGGCTAGTACAAGCAGCCGCACATACACATACACACGCATGCACGTCGTCATATGAGCGAAATATTCTCAAGCACGACGTTCAACCCAAATTCACCTCACCTCACCTCACCTCACCTCCCTATAATAGGAGTGCACTTCACACCAAAGAATATGGCTGGTAGGTATCCGGTATTCTGTAACTGTACCACTTATTGGTATACTGACAAACACTGGGGTTTAAACAATAATTGTTTTTGCAATAATGTCAACAATAAACGTAAATCATTTTAACGTGGGAAAGTACACCTGGGCGTGAGACCTGCATAACTTCCCTATCTCTTTCTAAATCCAGTGTACATGGCGTGAAATACTCACCATAAAACCAAAAACCGCTCACATATTTTGAATCCGTGTAAGTGGCTTAAATCAATTCTTTAATATTTAAGTCTATCGTGATTTGAGCAGGTTCTTATTCTCCAGAAAGCATTCAGTAAACTCTCAGGTCACTTTCTCAAACAGGCCCAATATACTCTTTCAAGACTCAGAAACTCTTCCATTGGGCGCCAATAAATATCTTACAGTTTATGGTATTCATGAATCGCACCCAAATCACTTGAGTAATTTCAGCCTTGGGTTGCGCTTGGTCTCCAGTACCGATGGCCTTAACAAAGGAATAACATTTGCTTATTTGATACTTCCAACTCTTGTCATCACTGTCTGTAGACTGTGTCCCTTACACGTACATCGGTGTTTACCTTCTGGTACTGTTACATATGGAATAATGTAAGGGACATTCTCGCGATCTCGCATTCTCGCGATATCGTCCTTTAGAAACAAGCTAAAATGGCAAAGTGGCCGAAATCGTCGCGTTCTCGCATTCTCGTGTTTTTGGTACATAGCACTTTTGTCAAAAGTCGAGATCGCGAGAATGCGACATTTGTACATGCTGTCAAATCTCGCATTCTCGCAATCTCGACTTGTCAAATATGGCCACAAAACTTACGAAATCGCGAGAACGCGAGAATGCGAGATCGCGAGAATGTCCCTTACAGTATTCCATAGTTACATACTAAAGAGGGAGTGTGCCCTCAGCCATTGGAGGAAAACATTACCCACCCACGATCAATCTGTCTTTCTTTCGCTGTATTTGCATGTTGTACAGCTGATTTCTTGGTATAAAGGGAGTTTGACATCCTAATAGGGTACCGTGTAATATATTCCGGATGTACCCATGTCTTCACATTATTTAAGTTGACTTTCTGCAAGAAGGGTCCAAACATTTTTCATTAAACCACAAGCAATTATCCACAAACATGAAAACAAAAAGGTTTTCTCCCTCGTTTTCAAAAACAAGTGACCTGGAGGTCGGGCCTTTAGTAACCAAACCAAATTCATGTATCAGTTATATTCATTATTCTTGCTCCAATTCATTCCTGATTTCTAATTCTACAGATTGTTCAGGTGCCAACAGGATCCACAGTCCCATAGAGGACATGTGCATTGAGGTCATGACAACCCAAATAAATTGGTATAAAGCTGACAGCACGTGTAAGAACCGAGGTGGTCGACTGGTAGTAGCGAGCAGTAAAGGAAAGTTCAACTTCTTTAAGACAACGCTGCAAGGATCAGCTGGTAGTGTAGTGAGTGAGTGAGTGAGTGAGTGAGTGAGTGAGTGAGTGAGTGAGTGAGTGAGTGAGTGATCAAGTGTTGAGCACGAGGATGATGATCTATCCACCATTGCCCAAACCACTAACTCCTCCATGTTTGTTTGTTTAACGCCGCTCTATGGTGTGTAAATAATCGAGTCCGGACCAGACAATCCAGTGATCAAAAACATAAACATCAATCTTCCCAACTGGAATACGATATCATGCGTCAACCAAGACAGTTACCAGACCATTTATAATCCGGATCTTCACGTGACTCCGTGTAAACATTTGTTGTAATGAAACAAATGCTTAAGCTGGTTAAAACCGAAACAGATGTGACAGGACATGTATTTGGTTGTCTGTATGTCTGTTACGCCGTAGTCAGCAGTATTACACCCATAGGACAAGACATTCCATTGTTTCGGCATCATACGTATCGATATCCCATTCGTAACTACTTGTGTCATTCCCGCAAGCCGGATGGCGACTCGTATCCCTCTCGTGGCCATGTTCATCATTCGTAACTACTCGCCTCTTTCCGTGACCTACAAGAAGACGCCATCCGGCTTGCCGGAATGACACGAGTAGTTACGAATGCATGTTCATGACTGGGCCTTGTCTAAGCGCAAACGGGCAGGGAGATGAAAATAGTCTAGCACTATTTCCAAGGAAAGATAACTGTGAATTTCCAAACATGGCTACTAGAAATTTATGATACAACACGACTTATGTCGTTAACAAATATCAGTAACAAGATAATTTTATAATCACAGAAATAATAATGAAAATCGACAATTGCAAAGAAACTATTTAACTCATTTCACAGTTTACTACGCGCGATTTGATTAGTTTCCCACCATTCTCCGCACTAATGGCGTACTATACAGGTACGAGGTCACGGAAAGAGGCGAGTAGTTACGAATGTTCAATCACCATCCGATGCCGTCAGTCAGTCCTTACGACAAGCATGGGTTATTATAAAATATAGTTTTATCCATAATAGAATTTATCCTAATAGTATTTCAATCATTGCATAATGTATATTTGATATTTACACTTTGGCGTAACCTGTGTTGTAGTCTGGAGCACCAACTGGATCGGCCTGAGTGTTGAGCCCGTGGCGAACGGAATATTCATCTGGTCTGATGGGACGCGGGCAACCTACACCAACTGGATGCCTGGAGAAGGACGGAGTTCGACAGAGTTCTGTGTGGAGATGGTCCGGTCACATGACTTCAAGTGGAATGACAACCCTTGCTGGGCTCTGCTTAGATTCATCTGTGAATACACACCTAATATAGTGTGATTGTATCATGGAGGACATTCGTGAAGTGTTTAACTACCTAACATACAGACTAACTTTATTTGAATAGCCTTCTGAGAAATGTCTATTTTCGTACAATCCAGTTATTTGTATTTAGCAGAATCATCGAAAGTACGCAAGTAGGTTGCACGATGTAACCCTGTAACTTGGCATTTCCCAAAACATTCTTCCTAATTTTAGTTTTACGGTAGTAAATGGGTACCCGGTAGGATGATATTGTTGTGACTGTCAACCTTAATGACTCATAAGGCAGATTGGATTGTATACTATGGAACGACCCGGGTTAGAATTGGTCTTAGCAACCCCTTCATGTCGTGAGGGGGCGGTGGGGTAGCCTTGGCTCGTCACGAACCCGACCCTGGTTACAATGTGTGGCCTGTCTGGCAACCCCCGCCGTGATTTTGCTGGAATATTGCTAAAAGCGGCGTAAAACCAAACTCAGCCAGTCAGTCATGTCGTGAGAGGGGACTAACGGGATCGGTTGGTCATGCTCGCTGACACGTCGTGTCATGGCTATAAGTATCTGGCATAACCCGTGTAAGCGACAAAACTACTTCTGTTGATTTATACTGGCAAAGATATTTGTAGTTTAACCATAGACTGTCGTTAACCCGAGTTCTATAACAAGGAACATTGTATCTTGATGTTACTAATGTAAGCAACAAAACTATTTCCGTAAAGGGAAATTGCCATTGTATTGGCAAAGTAATTGCAGTTTAATCATAGATTGCCGTGAACAGGACTTATATACTATTGTGTATAATATAATATTATACATATATAATATTGTGTATCATGATAATTTGAGTCTGTGAGTTGGTTAAATATCAGCGATTATACTCTTTCCTTGTAAGAAATCTCCGGTGGCAATTACTACAATTATACCATGGCGCGTCCGCTTTATGTTAGTATACACGTGAGAAGCATTTGCTGTTTGGTGGCAACACCTATATACCCTACAATCCAAGGAGGGTTTACGGCGAGGTTAAACAAATTTTTCATGGGTACAACGACATACATATTCTGGCGTAGACCCATCAGATAACGGTAATAAATGCTGGAATTTAGTGTTTTTATAAATATTATCACACCTTATCACATTACCCCAAAACAATTGGTATGACGTCAATGGATTGCAAAATGTCGACAAAATACAACTGAGTAAAAGATCAAAATTATCGGTTGACTTCCAGTTGTGGATATCAGCTGTGCATGTGGATCCTGGTTATTTGGTCTACCATAATGTGATAAAATAACAAGTTGGCGAACATCCACTTGAAAACATTGCTCCAAGTAGTCAACAGTTTCAAGTACAATGGTGGGGTATAGTGGTTAAAGCACGCCGAAGACAAGGGTGATTCCCACATGGGTACAATATGTTAAGCCCATTTCTGGTGTGCTACCACCGCGATATTGTTGGAATATTGCTAAAAGCGGCGTAAAACTAGACTCACTCGCTCACTCACTGTTCAATATGTGTGCCTTGACATTGTCAAACCCAATCTTTAGCTTCAGCTTTTCAAATTGCCTTACTTCTACCGAAATTCATTGGAATTCCACGGATTTAATATGAATATTAATTTCCGTTTACTTTACAAGAGAACATGGGAAGAAGGGCTGATTGTATAAACTTGAAAGCAAGACGTCACCAACAAGTTATTACTGAATGTTTAATTGAGTGAAAATACCACACTCGTTTACCAGATTCACATATATTTCAGATGAGAGAGAGAGAGAGAGAGAGAGAGAGAGAGAGAGAGAGAGAGAGAGAGAGAGAGAGAGAGAGAGAGAGAGAGAGAGAGAGAGAGAGAGAGAGAGAGAGAGAGAGAGAGAGAGAGAGAGAGAGAGAGAGAGAGAGAGAATATTATGATGATAAAGTTGAAACGCGTATAGATAGATCGTTCCATTATCATTGTAATGAATCTCGGTAGATTTATATGGAAGCGCATGAGTGCCACAGCCTAGGAAAATGCTAATTATATGTGACTCTAATACGCATCCATACATGTTCGGAAGCAGCATTACATTGAATATTGTAATGTATACATTATCTCTATGGAATGATAATATGAAGGACGTCAATTTTTCTCTTTTTTGTATATGTCATGTCAGGGGCAAATTTGTCCCTTTAACAAACAAAAACATAAATAAAAAGAATGAAAATACAATATTTACAGTGGCGATGAACGAAAAATATACAAAACAAATCAATAGGTGATGACTGTCTCTAAACAAACCAAGGCTTGCGGCGGCGGATTTCAGTGGCTTTCAAATGTTTTCTTTTCGTGAAATCCTGATTCTTGGTGGATAGGATTTCAACTTTGTCAAATTGGAGTAGATGATCGGTGAATTTTGCTGGTGAAATCCGCCACCACATACCTTTGACCAATAGAGACCAAGTGTACTGTATACCATCAGCCCATAAACATTCATCCTACAAATGTGTAAAACAGAAATGGACAGGAATATGGTATCACCTTTTCTATATCATTAACTGATGGAATTTCTAAATTTGTAGCTGAATCTATGGCGATTTTACTTGCCCTGCAATATATTGACAAATCTAAGGAGAGCTATTCCATCTTTTATTCAGACAGTTGTTCTGTTTATACTCAATCAACGGTCGTAAATACATTAATCATCTCTTTACCTGAAGTTTTAAGTCACCATGAGTCTTATATCTGGCTTCTAAGGTTACTGTGTTTCGTTGGCTTCCCGGTCACACTGCCGTAAGAGGTAACTCTATAGCTGATTCTGAAGCTAAAGCTGCCCTTCAAAAATCAGTTTCCAATACTACTGTCAAATTTAATGACCTCAGAGCTAATATCCGCCAGGTTGTAACAGAGCGGAGGCAGCAGACTTGGAATAATCAAGTATCCAATAAGCTTCTTGGATTCAAACCAAACACGGTGCACACTAGTTGTTGACGAAGCTGCTTTACACTTTCCTTTGTACTGAAAATTGAGAATCTGCCTCAAATGCGTCCCCTGCAATAAGCCAATAATGATCAAACACATTTTGCATGGATTTGTTGCTTTTTATAAAATCGTAAAGACATTGTTTTCACGATAATGTTTATACCTCACCTGAACTGTTTAAAACAAGTTCTAATCAGTTGTATTTCGTTTGTAAGAAATGACAAACTACAAGTTTGTATCTGAACAGGTTTCGGTGAAATATTCCCCAGTCTTGTTCTGTGTTTCATGAAAAGACAAGTTCTTCTCAAGCTGGTTCCACGATGCTTCTGTTTCGAGAGAGCTCACTTGTTGATACTTGAGTAGGCAAGGGGGTATGGTTTTAGTGTGTAAAACAAAACTCGTTCAAACACAATCTTTCCTTCCCTATTGGGTTGTGGATCTGCAGTGATGGCCTTTTAAGGTTCAGATAATGAGAACTTGTATTTGTATTTGTTTGTTGTTAACGCCGCACTCAGCTGTATTTAAGCTATATGGCGGGCTGTAAATAATCGAATCTGGACCATACAATCCAGTGATTGACATCATGAGCATCGATCCACGCAATTGGGTTACGATGACATGTGTCGACCAAGTCAGCGAGCCTGACCATCTGATCTCGTTAGTCGCCTCTAATGACAAGCATGGTTTGCTGAAGACCAATTCTAACCCGGATCTTCACGGTTGGTAGATCTGAGATAAACTTGCTATTATAGGTAGTCAAACTGCAGATTAGATTACCCTAATTTCAATTCGACACCGAATGCCTTGGTTTCAAGGAAATCTACTCTTCAGTTAGACATTAAGACAGTACTGACGTCATCGGCTCATTCATTCCGAACGCGTTGTCAGTCTCGCTAGGGAAATATCATTCTTCAGTCACTCGTGTTGTAAATACTATATGCCATCTACGCTCGGTATTAATCTCTATATCCTTCTTCGCTTGGTGATCGTTGGTAAACAGATTTATAATGTAGATCGAGTCGCTTCGCTTTGTTCGCTTTCTAATAAGTGAATATAAAGAAAAATCACGCTGACCTGGGTTGTTCAGTAAGTGTTCACGGGTAAATATATTTTTTTAAAACATCAGGGCATACATTTCCACAGGGCGGGGAAATGCAGAAATAAGAAAACTTATTTCACGTTGGAATGAAAATTTAAGGCGGGCGAGTAATAGGATTTGGGTTGGTTGGTTGGTTGGTTGGTTAATTGGTTGTTTAACGCCGCACTCGGCAATATTGGTGGACTACAAATACAAATAATAATAATAATTGGCATTTATAATGCCTCTGTACCACGCACTTGTGCATGCTCGTGACACTACAATACAATCCGAGGATAATGTACAATAAATTTGCATGGTGGGTTTGAAGAGTTAGTAATAAGTACCCTTGAAGACATAGATTTTCAGAGAGATTTGAAACATGTGAGAGAATCAGAAAGTTCAATATTGTCGGGTAGAGAGTTCCACAGACATGGGCCTGCATGTCGGAAAGATCAGTTGCCGAACGAAGCTAAGCGGATCTTTGGGACTGTTTAGCGTTAACAGGAGTTGGTACTGGGAGCGAAGAGTTCTAGTTGGGGTGTATAACCAGACAACAACTAACCAAAACATAAAGATAAACTGTCAGTTTTAAACATCTGTGTGCCATAATGATGACCTGCAAGATGAATGGCGTCGGATTCCTAATCAAGACGTCAGAAGACTCACCTTCTCATTTCGACGCCTGGTTCGGGCCTGCACAACTGCTAGAGTATTGAACAATATGTGCTTGCCAGAAAGTTGTAAAAGCTCCCAGTCGATTCTGCATTGGTGATCGAACACTGGACAATGCACCCAAATGTCATTCATGTGCCATTAGATCACGAGCTGCGTCGTTTTCCTTCTTGTTACCCATTAAATACTGTTTGCTGAATGATTGCTTTTTACAATAAAACATTTAATGTTACCATAATGTGCTTTTGTTTTGTTTTAGACCAGAAAAATATTTGGTGGCGGGTTTTTGGATGCTAGTTTACGTTTTTCCTGTTTTGTGGTTGTGATAAAAGAAACTTTCCCCAGACCTATGATAAATTGACATTAATTTATGCATTAGTACATGTTTCAAAACATTTTATGGTGGCCATGTGGAGGATATTTACAAAGATGACGCATCAGCGACCAGACTGACCCAGTTTGATTATACCATAAGTTCCCATGTTTGTCCACTTGAACATTCCATTGCCTTTTGCATGCATTTGTGCCTGGTGCCACCGGTTGGAGTGAATGAGTTTAGTGTTACGCCACACTCAGCAATATTCCAGCTATGTGGCGGTGATCTGTAAATAATCGAGTCTGGACCGGACAATCCAGGGATCAACATTATGAGCATCGATCTACGCAATTGGGATACGATGATATATGTCAACCAAGCCTGACCCCCTGATCCCGTTAGTAGCCTCTTACAACAAACATGGGCTGCTGAAGATCAATTCTAACCCGGATCTTCACGGGTCTCCACAGGTTGAAAGAATACACCGTGTGTGATCATTGTTTGACAGATTCATGTTTTATCACTTTGTACAGTGTCTTCTGGTACATATGTACTCTGCACATCTGCATCGGCCAGCGTTAATGAAAGAATGTTGTTTCACCAAATATATTGTGATGAGAGAAAAATGAGTCAAAAGTTTGAGACATGACATTTACAACAGATTAACATGGATTTCATTAATTAACATTAAATATGGATAAAGACGGGATTCTTACTCAGCATTTATTGCAAAGTTAAAACAAATACTTTATTTTCGAGGCATGGTAACGGATCAGTTGATCGTGGCTCGTTTGAAAAATGTACAGGAAGTTCACGGCTTGGCATTTAACCAGGTCCTCATGCTGATCCGATTTCGCATTTGGGAAATTTGTGTCTCTGTCGAATTGGAAAGATACGCCTACAGCTGCATTATATCAGCCTAGTCTTGAAATGCCAGGCAGTTTATGGAAGCGTATCAGTGTCACGGTATAACATAAATGCATAATATATAATTGAGTCTACTTGAATGATATTTGAATCTGTGAAAAAGATACTTTCATCCACTTGGAACCTTTTCTTTGTTTACTGAAATTATCTGCTACATAGTTGAGAAAAGAAGCTTGACTGTGGCATTTCCATGGGGTGTCTGCACATGACGCAGACCTTTAGGTTCCAAACTATGCACATGACGCAGACCTTTAGGTTCCAAACTATGCACATGACGCAGACCTTTAGGTTCCAAACTATGCACATGACGCAGACCTTTAGGTTCCAAACTATGCACATGACGCTGACCTTTAGGTTCCAAACTATGCACATGACGCAGACCTTTAGGTTCCAAACTATGCACATAACGCAGACCTTTAGGTTCCAAAATATGCACATGACGCAAACCTTTAGGTTCCAAACTATGTACATGAGGCAGACCTTTAGGTTCCAAACTATGCACATGACGCAGACCTTTAGGTTTCAAACTATGCACATGACGCAGACCTTTAGGTTTCAAACTATGCACATGACGCAGACCTTTAAATTTCAAACTATGCACATGACGCAGACCTTAGGTTTCAAACTCTGCATGTGACGCAGACCTTTAGATTTCAAACTATGCACATTACGCAGACCTTTAGGTTTCAAAATATGCACATGATACAGACCTTTAGATTTCAAAATATGCACATGACGCAGACCTTCAGATTTCAAACTATGCACATGACGCAGACCTTTAGATTTCAAACTATGCACATGACCCTGACCTTTAGATTTCAAACTATGCACATGAGGCAGACCTTCAAATTTCAAACTATGCACATGACGCTGACCTTTAGATTTCAAACTATGCACATGAGGCAGACCTTTAGATTCCAAACTATGCACATGAGGCAGACCTTTAGATTTCAAACTATGCACATGACGCTGACCTTCAAATTTCAAACTATGCACATGACGCAGACCTTTAGATTTCAAACTATGCACATGACGCAGACCTTCAGATTTCAAACTATGCACATGACGCAGACCTTTAGATTTCAAACTATGCACATGACGCAGACCTTCAAATTTCAAACTATGCACATGACGCAGACCTTCAAATTTCAAACTATGCACATGACGCAGACCTTTAGATTTCAAACTATGCACATGACGCAGACCTTCAAATTTCAAACTATGCACATGACACTGACCTTCAAATTTCAAACTATGCACATGACGCAGACCTTTAGATTTCAAACTATGCACATGACGCTGACCTTTAGATTTCAAACTATGCACATGAGGCAGACCTTCAAATTTCAAACTATGCACATGACACAGACCTTCAAATTTCAAACTATGCACATGACGCAGACCTTCAAATTTCAAACTATGCACATGACGCAGACCTTTAGATTTCAAACTATGCACATGACGCAGACCTTTAGATTTCAAACTATGCACATGAGGCAGACCTTCAAATTTCAAACTATGCACATGAGGCAGACCTTCAAAATTTCAAACTATGCACATGACGCAGACCTTTAGATTTCAAACTATGCACATGACGCAGACCTTCAAATTTCAAACTATGCACATGACGCAGACCTTTAGGTTTCAAACTATGCACATGACGCTGACCTTTAGATTTCAAACTATGCACATGAGGCAGACCTTTAGATTTCTAACTATGCACATGACGCAGACCTTTAGATTTCAAACTATGCACATAAGGCAGACCTTTAGATTTCAAACTATGCACATGACGCAGACCTTTAGATTTCAAACTATGCACATGACGCAGACCTTCAGATTTCAAACTATGCACATGAGGCAGACCTTTAGATTTCAAACTATGCACATGACGCAGACCTTCAAATTTCAAACTATGCACATGACGCTGACCTTTAGGTTTCAAACTATGCACATGACGCAGACCTTTAGATTTCAAACTATGCACATGAGGCAGACCTTTAGATTCCAAACTATGCACATGACACAGACCTTCAAATTTCAAACTATGCACATTAGGCAGACCTTCAGATTTCAAACTATGCACATGAGGCAGACCTTTAGATTTCAAACTATGCACATGAGGCAGACCTTCAAATTTTAAACTATGCACATGAGGCAGACCTTTTTTTCCTTTGATGTTCACCGATCTGGTCTTGCAGCTGACTGGTGTTTGTTTAGTGGCTTAAAGATGAGTGACTAATTAACTTAGTGAATACTGATCAATCAGGTATCACCTATCTGAGTAGGTTTTCACCAACATTGAACCGTGTTCAAAATGACACCTGTCACTTAATCATAATAATATGATATTAATGTGTGTGGGGATTTATGTACAGACCGAACAAGAGAATAGATTTCCTGGCGCTGCCTTGACAAGAACTGTGGATCACCAGCTTCGACGTCGAATGACATCATCACAATGGTTAGCTATAACCACAACCACCCACCTGTACACAATGAAATTAAGGTAAGGCATTTTACAAGTTCTATAATATCAAATATATTCGAATATAAATACATTGTGGCATGAACTATAAGAATTTTTGCTTGTGAATATAATGTAAGTTGAGAAGAAAAAAACATAATGAAAACTGGCTTAACCCTACTGGCCAAAAGCACATGACACAGACCTAATTTGTCCCTCGCAAAGCTAGAAGTCTGCTTCATGTGCGTAAACCTTCCATGGCTTGGTCTCCCACGAGGTTCACTTGCATTGTTAATGTGTGTACATGCGCAATGCTTACCTGGTAGGTTTCACCTGCATTGTGATCATGTTGTTACCTTTGGCGTATCACTGGATTATCTGGTCCAGACTTGATTTGTTTACAAACAACATCGCACAGCTGTAATGTTTCTGAAACAAATATATACTCATGATATAGTCACAATTGTACAGTCGACTCTAATTTTAGCAGCAATTTCTTATGAATATGGAAAGGGTTTTGTCGCTTTTATTTACACATGCACACATGTATCACAAATATTTGCCCTTTCGTGGGGATTCCGGGCCTAATGGGTCCCAAGTAGACTATGTTTGTTTTATATTGTGAAAAGGATCCAGAATCTTGATGCATGTGTATATAGGATGAGGTCATGTAAAATCATTTTGAACACAGCTAGAAAAATATCTTTATGACACTTTGCCATTTGAAGTCAAGTTTGAAGAAAACCAGAAACTGTTGGCCATCAGTCACAACAACTTTAAATTAATTATCTGTAGTATTCAAGGAGAACATTAATCTACATTTCTAGTATTAATAAGGAAACACAACACTAATCACTTTTACCAAAACATTTATCTGGTTGAAGTATTGTTAGCACAATACATAACACTATGACGTCTTTTCATTATACATGATGTGATCTTTGTGAACTATTTAGCTGAAGGTTAATAGTTTTCAAGAGGCAACTTTACAAAATGATTATTAAGACAAATTAGTGCCCGCACTTTATATCCTGACTTTTCTTGACAACGAAATCGTATATAGCAGTGTATGAAATAAGCCCCAAACCCAGCCAGACACCAGCCCAAAATGGATTTAACCAGACCTGACACCAAGATATGGTGAATTTACTCAGATGTATGGAATATTACGAGACTATCGGGCTGGCTAGCTGTAATTTACAGGCGCGTAGCAAGGGATTTATTTCGTGTAAGCCCGATAGGTTGCAAAGCTTTTTATTTAGATACTATTTGAGGGCTTTAGCAACAATCATGTGTAAGCCTGGGCATTTTTTTATAATGGTAGCTACGCCCCTAGTAAATCTAGACCGTCCGTCAGAACTCTATCCCGCCTCCGGCGGTCGGAGGGGCCTTATTTCATACACTGGTGTAGTGTAATACGCCCCGTGTAAATTAACACGAATAAAGACAATTATGAAAAACAAAAACAACACCAATAACTGTGTGGGCCTTAGGTTTATTTGTATTATGCTTGACGCATTATGTTGCAATAAACAATGGTCTCTTTGTTTTGTGCCATGACGGTCAGTAAGTCGTTGATTTGTTTGTTTGTT